ATCTCACCAACACAACCTCAGAGCACAGCAGGATGTACACATATAGGCATGAACATCTCTAAGGTCTTTTAGAAAGCACACAGCACTACAACAAAAATAAGGATATGTTACTATTGTCTATCAAAATATGAGAAGAACCCTCAATACATTTCCAGCTCCTAACAAGCATCCTGTAGAATGCCAAGGACCCTCAGGTAGGCTGCAGAGCACCTATGACTATGAAATGGTAGGTAACTTTTTTGTAACAAGCACATGGGCTTCTTCTAGAGTGAGGGCCCATGGCTTTCCACATGTTTGTAGATCTCAGATTCCCAAAAGGATAAGATGCACTGGTCCTAAGGAATGAAAAAAATGGAGAAAGTATGACAGGTATGGTCACAGCATCTCTCTTCCAAAAAAATGACCTAGTGAGGTCATTTCTACATTCTACATTTCTACATTCTTCCCTGTTCTGAATGGTGTGACATAAAGGGACTTTAAAATGACCAGTCAAAACCATTCACTGGCCTAAGGACTAACACAAAACAAAATTTCAAACTATTTTAAAGGGGAAAGAGCCAGCCATTCTACTTTCTAGGTTTGGTTAATTCTAGATGTAGTCAATGACCTAGTGAGGACCTCCAAAAACCTAGTGAGGTCCTTTCAAGTAAGCGATAACTATCACAGACACAAAGACAATGGGGTAGCAAGAACCAAAGTGTCCATCTTCTTTTGCGTACACATCTCTTGACCTCTATACTGCCTCTGTAACTTGGCAATCATGTCTGGTTCAGTGCCATCTGTTCATGCCAGGTGCATTCATTTTGCAGCTGGAGGGTAAACACTACACCTTCTGGCTCACATCTGGGATCAATACACAACATGTGCTAGGAGGCCCCAGGTCAGGGCTATGCCTCCCTCACTTCCTGTTCATGAAGCACTTCAGGAAATGAAAATGCCTCCCCTTATAAACACATGTACTGCCTGTTTTGGACTAAATGGGAAATCACCTTGGAACCAGGGTCTACAAAGCAATGGCATATTCTTCCCTGTTCTGAATGGTGTGACATAGAGGGACTTTAAAATGACCAGTCAAAACCATTCACTGGCCTAAGGACTAACACAAAACAAAATTTCAAACTATTTTAAAGGGGAAAGAGCCTTCTTCCTATTGCCAAGACTATTCCCCAATACTACTTATTCCCCCCCAATTTACTCAGCCAGACATACTTTTGAACCATAGTTTTCTCTCCTTTGCACAATTACTATCTACCATCCTATATTTAATGACTTTGTTCACTGGTTTATTCACAGAATCACCATTAGACTTAATGATGACTGCATTATTGGTCATTTGTACCAAGATACCTTGGGAAGGGAGGCAGGATACCTGATGGCAATACAAGAGGTGAGATCAAGGAGCGACGACTTTGACAGCACCAAGTTCAACAAGCTCAAGGGCTTTGCTCTGGCTCTTTTCACCCCAAATCCTCCCTGTCAAAGCAAGCACTAGGCCCATGCAAAGTGCTCACGAAGACCTTCCTGAGATCCAGCAGTCACCACCAGAAGCTGGAATTGCATGGTAGTGCTCAAGCTCCACTCCTGCACCAGCTAGTCACATGACTTGTACATCCTACCCTTGTGTAACTTCCTTGCCCTCTATAAGCTTCCAGTTCCACCTTTGTCAGATGGCGCTGACCATAAACCATGGCCTGCTTCACTTGACTGGGCAGGAATTAAATGAGGTCACCCACAGGGCCTGGAACAGTCAGAATGAATGAACAATAAGGTAGACTATGCTTAGTATATGTTACTCCTAGATCATTTCAGTAAGGTACATAAAGCAGGTGATCATGATACTGTATGCCAGTATCCATCTCATGGGCACAGTGGGAGCCACCTCACCTCTGTAGAAAGCCTAACCCAGCCTGTCTAACTCTGAAATGGGCCCTAGCCCAATCCTGGCCTATACTCTTCCCTGAGACCCAGGGAACTGCCTTTTTCTCAATGCTAAAAGGGTGGGGTCCAATAGTTCCAATGCCATTAATGCCACTCTGAGGAGAAAGCAGGGCCACTAAGAGAAAGGATGATAAAAAAAGAGAGTTGACATGAAGGACAGACCTAGAGTTACTGAAGCTGGTCTCCCTACTCCCTAGGCAAGCTGTATTTTTGCCTCCCATGAGGACTGGGCAAACAATTCTAGGGAGGATCCTTATCAGGAACCATTCTTTAGCCAAAGCTACTTTGAACTCCAAACACAACCAAAGGCTACCAAGAAGGACATCATGTTCTGTAGAGAGCTAGGAGTCATAAACAGTTAGCATCCTAGGAGAGAATGACTTTTATTTAAAGAGAGGAGAAAGAGAGAGGGGGAGAGAGAGAAACAGAAGAGGGAGAGAAGGGAAAAGAGGAGGACAAATAGAAGAAGAAAAAGCAGAGAGGAGAGGAGGGGAGGAATAGGAAGGGGAAGAGGAAGAAGAGGAAAAGGAAGGGAAGGAGAAGGAAAGGAAGGAAAAGGAGGAAGGGGAAGACAAGACCTTCACTAAAGTGCTGAGCTGAGCATTCTACTTGCACCATATCCTTTGTCCCCGCTCATGGATACTCTGTACAGTGGGCATCATATTTATCCCGTTTTATGGATAAGAATGCTGAGGTACCCAGAGGTGCCTTCTTGAGGCTACATATTCTAGATGACCAACCTAAGCCAAGATAGTAATAACACTCAGGGGTTAGACCAAGAATGGGAATATAGCTTTCATGGGCCAACCTATAGAAAAGCACTTGACCTTTGAGCATTGTACCACTCCTGCAGGGGACACAGCCATAGAAGGAAGCTGACCACAAGAGAAAGGGGCCCTGAGAGTTGCCACATAAATAGAGTTCTCAGGTAAGCTGAGTTTGAACTTCAGGTAAGCAATGACTTACACTTTAGTATGTGTGTCCCCAACATTGCATGGCATGTGTTTTTATCCTAAGAGAGCACCAGATATCTGACTTCAAGTCTATCTGGGTACCCTGCATTTTTATTTACCTAACATGCCTTGGAGGAGAGAAGAGGTACCCACAAGCACAGGAGACTGATGACCAAACAGCCCTTTGCCTGCACCATCTCAGAGCTTCTGGTTACACAAGGCCATCCCATCCTTGCTAGATGCACAGTTTATAATTCTCTCACTTGCACCCCATCCTCTATCTCTGGGGCTAGACAGTGATTTTCAGGCCAGGCAGGAAGGACACTCAGCCCAAGCTTCATCACCATATTAATTCCCAAAGGGTTGGGGACTGAGCACCATACTAAGAGCCACCGTGCTCATGTTTGGCACCTTGAACTTGTATTTTTAGAACGGTAAGGATGCAGCTTGACAGACGTACTGGAATTCATCAGATTCTCCTCAGTCGATGTAAATGTGTCATTATAAAGTCGCAGAACACGAATGCACTTAAAACTGGAAAACTCCTTCATGAATACTAACAAACTCTGAAATCACAGGGAAGACGACTGCCTACAGCTATCGAAAACACCCAGCCAGCCAAGATTAAGGATTTCAGTTTTTAAACAGTAATGATAAACTCCCATGTAATTTTGTTTAGAAAAAAACATCAATTAGCCACACAGAAAAATTAGACTTTAGATCAAACATGGAGCATTATAAACTAGTCACATAGAGCAGGAAGGAGTATGTAAGCGAGCAGCATGGACAGGTGGATGTGGACAGCAGTGTTATTTAAAGATAGAAGGTGTGTGTGTGTGTGTGTGTGTGTGTGTGTGTGTGTGTGGTGTGTGTTTGTGGTGTGTGTGTAAGTGTGCATTTGACACTGTTCACCAGCATCAGGTATTTCAAGATAATGAACCTATGAATTTTATGTGCAATATCTTGTACATTAACAATCAGCTGTGTTTGCTGACACCTGTCAGTTACAAACACAGGACATTGGGGTAACTATTATAGCTGGGGACAGATGTTTGCTATGTCTTGGATTATACCAACCAGTTCTGAAGTCCCATTCAAGTGAAGAGGCCTGCCATAGCATAACGTACCACCATTAACATTGCCATCACCTGGGCTCCTCTAACACAAGTATGAGTCAAATTAGAAAAACTGCAATGGGAAAAAGGAGGTCTAAGAAAATTGTCTTGGGAAAAAGGCTACTGTTTTTCACACACACATAGGAGTGAGTTCAAATTAATCCACAAATTAACAGATTTAATCAATTTACTATTAACCAGCATTTTAAAAACAATTTTTAAAGAATTTAAATTGAGATGCCTCCTTTTGTCATCTAACAAATTTAGATGCTCACTTTTAGCAGTTTAATGAAACAATTTTCACAAAACTCCAATAAGATCTGTGTGGGGAGAACAGGAAGACTTGATACCACATTTCTCAGTTTTATCTGAGAAAAGTAACCAATAGGAAACAGTTGAACAGAAGGAACAAAGGCAGAAGGATGGCCCCAAGCAGACATGAAAGGCACAGCAAAGGCCAACAATTAGAACTGTGTGGGACAGCCACAGGCCCAAACAGGAAGTTCAAAGGAGCAAAGCAAAATGTTCAGGAACGATCACGTGTAGACACTACGAAGTAAGAAAGTAAGAAAAGAAGTAAGAAAAGGGATTGACCAATAAACAGGGTTGGTTACATACAGAGAAAAATAAGAAAACAGCTTGGGAGCTTTGATAGAAGACATGTTTGAAAGTCTGAAATGGGGAGATCTCAGCAGTAGAGCACCATGCTCCTCCAAGTCGGAAGGAGCTGCCACAGGAGCACTCAGTTCCCAGCTTCTCCAGAGTCCCGGGGTTCAGTCAGCTGGTGTCTCCCCACACCAGTTGAGCTGTGCTCGGCATCCCTTCTGCCTCTCCTGGTGCCTCTTACAACCACATCCCCCAGCATCTTAAAAGATTTCAGAAGAACTAAAAAGGAAGTTTGCTTTGACAGTTGGGGATTCCCAATTCTTTGAACTGTGCCAAGGTAACAGTCACCCTGATGTGAGAGTTGCCAGATACCAAGAGGAAATCTTACCTGCTTCCTCTTTTCAGGGGGAAGTGATGGATCTCCGTCCTACAAGGAAACAAATACTACATTTTACTTGCTAAGAATAAGCCGAGACTCAACACAGAATTTCAACCCTCAGTTGGACCAAGCTGTGAATCTAAATTCAGACCAATCCCCATCAGCCATGCAGCTAGTGAGGCAAGGAAGCAAGCTCACTCTTTAAAATAACTGCCACTTGATAGAGGACCCCAGAGAATTGGCTCCAATCAAGACCAAACATGTATTTTCCAAAATGATGTTTCTAAAGGAGAAATCTAGATGGGTCAAAATTACTTTACTTTAGAGTAGAGCAGAAACTCAGCATAAAATAGTATCTCATTCAATTAAAGTTCTTTGAAACAGAATAAAAATAGTTACTGACATGCATACAGACATAAACACATGCATACACATGCACATGTATACACACACATATACACACATAAGCATGCATGCATACACACATACAAGCACACACATGTAAGAATACACATGCACACATAGACATGACTCATATGCACACACGTGCACATGCATACACACATATGCACACATACATACACATATACATGCACACACAGGCACACACGTGAAAACACACTTATATGTAGGCACACACATATGTACACACATGTAAACACATATGCACAGGAACACACAGGGACATATATGCAAACACACATACACACTCATTAACACACATGTGCACATCTACAAACACACACATAAAAACACACAAAAGGCACACATTCATTATATGCACATATACACACACACCTGCCTAGTACTTATGGGCAGAATAATCAAGGGAGGGAAACCTGATTTGCTCAGATAAATAACACTGAGAAATTTTAGTTCTACTGGGCATTTTGACTTATAAAAGTTGAGTTCTTCTCCCATTGTTGCCTCTGGAAACATAAATACCTCAAGAGAACAAACAAATGCTCACCAAATGAACACCCTTTATTGTTATTATAGTTTTAACAAGAAAAAGCCTCTCTATGTAGCCCAGGTTGGCCTCAAACTCCCCATTCTCCCACTTCAGCCTGCCAAGTGCTGGGGTTACATACTCAGCTAAATGAGTAGTCTTACAAAGACACTAGTCACATATATATCCAAGTTAGTTGAACTTGAAGAATATTTCTATTTCTACTCCAGGACAGTTCAGTGATCCTAGGCAAATGATGAAATGTTAATAGTGCTTGCACAGGGGCTGGAGAAATGGCTCTGAGGTTAAGAGCACTGACTGCTCTTCTAGAGGTCCTGAGTTCAATTCCCAGCAACCACATGGTGGCTCACAACCATCTGTTATGAGCCCTCTTCTAGTGTGCAGATATATGAAAGCAAATGTTATATACATAATAAATAAATAAAATTTTAAAAAATAGTGCTTGCACTTAACAGAAATATGGCATGCACTTACAGTCTCAGGGCTTGGTAAGTGAACACAAGAGGACCACAAGTTGAAGGCCAGTATGAACTACATAATGAGTTCTAGATCAGCCTGGGACACACAGCAATAGCATGTTGACAGAGGAGAGGGATCACATCAATGGGAGGGAAAGAAGCCAGGGTATGAATCTGCACTGCTCCTCTACATCTATCTAACTTGCATCCTTAAAAAACAATCCATAAGAACCCAAGAGAATAAGGGGTTGGTCACATAGTCCCCTACCACTGGGACTATTCAAAGGCTCCAGAGGTGATGTGAAATCCAAATGGCTAAGCATAACTGTGAGGGATTTTTTTTCTTAATTAAATTATTTGAAATGGGAAGATCCATTCCTAATCTTTATCTTTGAGGCAGGTAGATCCACCTTTAATCTGGGTCAACCTTCTGCTGGCAGCCTGTATAAAGGACATGGAAGAAGGAAGCTTGCTTGCTCTTGCTCTCAGTGGCAAATCCATTCCTTCACTGGCATTATAGCCTACTTCTTTGGGATCCCAGCATATACTGAAGACCAGATGAGACATGCAGCCTCATGGACTGAATAACTACTGGATTCTTGAACCTTTAATGCCAATTAACTTAGCTAAGTTGGACAGCTGTGTGCAGCTGGAAGCTTCTGTATTAGCACAGATTTACAATATTAATACTCTTTAAAATGACAAGGGAATTCCATTATCAACAGACTAATAAAGAAACAGCTATGGTAAGCACATATGGACGTGAGTATCTTCACATGTGTTAGATCCAGCAGTCTGGAAGTGCATATATGTGAAGCAGGTTGTTGAGGAAACAGGTGGTATACACATTTCTACTTGTAAACTTTGGTTTGGTTTGATTTGGGTTTTGTCGTTGTTGTTGTGCTTGCTTGCTTGCTTGCTTGCTTGCTTGCTTGCTTGCTTGCTTGCTTGCTTGCTTGCTTGCTTGCTTGCTTGCTTGCTTGCTTGCTTCAGGTTATCGAGTCTCTAACCCACTATGTAGCCAAGGAAGTCCTTGAATCCCGATCCCCCTGACTCCACCTCCCAAGCTAGGGTTAAAGGTATATACCTAGCTACCTGGTGAACTGTTGGAAAGGGGTCACTTTTGAAGAGAACACATCATCACATGCCTTTTTTCTGTCTTTAGGGAGAGGAGCAGATGTCCCTCCAGTGTCAGACTTACAATCAGTTCTCGATACTTCTTCTTCAGGGACTGGTGTCGTTCTCGCAGCTGATTAGCCATGAGTTTGTACTGGTCCCTCTCCTGCTGGCAAGTGTCCAGCTCCTTGGAGAGGATCAGCAGGGCCTCTTTCTTGCTCTCCAGCTTCCGTTTACATACCAGGTACTGCAGGACAAATAGCCACTGGTTAGAAATGGCAGGTGGGCTTCTACACCACTTCTACAGTGCACTGTGCTCCCCAGTCCCTCCTTTCTCATGGTAAGGGATCACACAATTTTAGACACCAGTAGCATACATGCAGAAAGGCTGCCACACTGCCTGACACATAGTTCTCTCAAGACACAGCCAAACCTTAGCTGCCCATGAACAAGGGCAGATAAATAATTTATTTGCAAATAAGTTAAGTTAAAAAGTAGAACTATAAGCCAGCAAGATGACTTAGTAAGTCACAGCACTTGCCACCAAACATTAATGACCTGAGTCTGATAACCTGAGCCCACAATGCAATGAGAAAACTAATTCTTAACTTCATCCTCTACACATGTGCTGTGGCACACATACATATACCATACACATGCATATGATAATAATAAAGTAGAACTATTTTTAAAATTACATATAAGGATAAATAGATGTCTGGATCCCAGGTTTATCTAACATGGCATATATATCATATAAAATTACATAATATTTAAAAAAGTTCACAAAGTGATACTCACAAAGATATTTAATGAAAAATTATAAATATTGATAGGAATCTTCTCTTGCTAGTAATTTCTCTTCCTCAAGTTTTAAAATTTTTCCTTATGTTTTTCCATTTTTTTCCTAAATTTTTGTGGATAAGTCCATATGCTGTCGATCATAAAAATAACCCCAAATATTATGAAACTTCTTTGAACCATAAATCACTTCACTCATCCTTCCCAACCATGAAACCAAACAGCCATTTTCCCCTGGAGAATTTGTTCCCTAAATCGGTGCTGACCTGTAAACCCTCTTCTAGGATCAAACACAGGCACCCATCCATCACCAGAGACTGACTTCAGGACTCAGTATCTTTGCCACACTCAGAATTCTCCCAACAGCCAGGCCACTGGCTGGGATACTGCCTTCAAGCAACAGCATCTTGTATCTCTGCTTCTCCCTCCTACCCTGCACCAGGAATGAAGCTCAGCCAACAGTCCCACCACAGTGGCCCGTGGGAACCCAGAGAAGATTCTACTCTTACTGGATATATTACACTGCCTGGCGTTATTCACATATGTGAAATGTGGCACTAAATACCTTTTGAATTTTCCCCATAAAAGACCAAATTCAGAGCATTCATGAAAACAATTTATAGTTTCATTATGCACCCTGACATGAGTGCTTTGTCATCGTGGGCGCTCACACAAAGCTGAGCAAGAGCTGGCACTCCTATACCATTTGAGCCAGTGCTCTTTATGGACAAAAAGCATTACTCATATATAGTGCTTGCTCGGAAGCGACTTTGTTAAGTTCAATTTCAAATAAATGAAAGGGAAAAAAAAAGAGAGTCTTGTGCATTAGCGCATTTTTTCCCCTTTAAGGAAAAAAAAAAGTAATTGCTTAGTTTCAAAAACAAAGGGGAAAGAAAAGCCATTCTGAGGCAGATTTGAGTTCTGAGAAAGGACACTTCACCTTGGTGGAATTTTATTCCCCACAGTAATGAGGCTGGAATCCTGCCTTAAAAGCTCTAGATTTTGAGACTCTGACATTGTCTGCAATGACGCAAAATGGTCCTGTTGCCACAGTGATTTCTCAAGAGTCAAAACCCCGACAAGTAAATATCAGAGGTGAGTGACTTGAACCCCTGAACTGCAGTGTCCCAAGGAAGGCACTGAGATTCCACAGGGGAAGCATCACTACCCACCACTTAACCCATCTGTCCCTCTTCTTTCCCCTCAGCCAGCAGCCCCAGTTGCTGGGGCTTTGGGTGTCAGTGGCACAAGGATTCCATTTATGGGCTTCATACCTGAAACCCCAGAGATGTCCAGTGTCTTCGACTTTAGGGAAGAGATCTGAACTGTATCAAGACGTTTCAGTAGCTAAGCTTGTGTAGAACACCCATCTCAGGAATGAGACAGTAAAGACTACTTCATACTGAGAAAGCAGAAACTCAGATTCCCTGCCCTTGAAAGATCCAAGAGAAAAAGCATAGTTTTTTTCATACGTTTCTCTCCCAAGGCACAGTCCAAGTTGGAAGCTGTGAAAAACTTCAGCTTCTTGCTCTGTGGAGCCTGGCAGAAGCCAGATATGGCGAAGTACTGTGAAATGCTGGCATGGCTGCCACACTCATGAACTCAGTACAGCTAAGGTTACCTGCATGAGAACTAGCCAAAAATATCCACAAACATTCCATAAGGCAGTGCTAATTTACACAGCGCAAACAAAAGAGAAAAAAGAGGACATGACGGTATGAAGATGAGAAGGGGACATGTTGGAAAGCATCTGGGGGTGAGAGAAATTGGGGTAGATGGGATTATATTACAAAAAGTATACATATATTATATATATGCATGATATACATACACATACATACATATTTTGAAAGAACACACAGGCAGTCTGTACAGAAAATGAAGCCACACTGAGAAAAGGGTGGTCCAATCAGCTGTCCTTTCCTCTGTTTGCTATAGTCTAGAGAAGTAGTTGTCCAAACGTTGGCCCACACTATTTGCTTTTATCAGCAGGATAAAACTTAGGCTGAAGCCTCACTTATGAAAAAGCCCAAATGGATCTGAGTGCAGAGCTAACCAAGTGAAGGTTTGTCTTAGCCATCTGCATCCACAGGTGGCACTGAGAACCCAGCAACAAAATGGCAGCAGTTCTAAGATACAGAGGTTTCATTGGTATGGGAGGACCCAGGGGGTCCTGGAGTGTGTAAGTGGGGAGCAAAGGCTGAACAAAAGCAGGTAAGCTTTCATTGTTCTCTTTCTCTGCCTGCAGATTCTTCAATTCCTGCTGCCTTAATTTTCCCACCACAATGGACTATGCCTGGAACTGCAAGCCAAAATTGACATTCTCCCCTAAGTGGCTTTTGTCAGAGTATCTTATCACAGCAACAGAAAGAAACAAAGCAGTGGCCTTGTATGGTTTTCCTGTTCTTTCTGTATTATGGCTTGGTCTTGAGCTATACTTGCTCTTAGAGACTGGCTACTTTCAATATCTCCCCTGGGACAGTAGAGACTTCATCATATTCATTCCATATTCCCAGTGCTGAGAAAAATACATGGTACACAGCAGGTGCTCAATACATGTATTTAGATATGTGCATGTACATACACATGAATAAGGAATAACGTTGTAAATAAGATAATGTATGAATTTTTTCCTTTATCCTATTATATGCACATATGTAACTCATATAGAATGAATAAGAAAAATGTATGTACATAAGACATTTCACATTGATGGATGAGGACCCTTCACAAGATATCTAGGGCTGCATCAGACCTTGTGGCATATGCGGCATTGCCCCCATTTAACAGATTTCCTGACTCCGAATCACCTAGACCAGGCTCCGTAGTGTACAGATGAGGAAACTGGAGCTCAGCATGGTGAAGTGAGTTATCTAAAGCTGGCCAGATAAAGCTAGTCAAACTGTATATTTGTCTCACTCCAAGTTCAAGGCTCTTTCCAGATAGCAAATGACCTCAAGTTCTTGGCAAGTAAGAAAAAGAAAGAAAGGCAAACCATGAATTCAGAATAAGGCCTGAAAGTTTTGATATGACCATGGTAGACATAGATAATGATGTGAGAATATATTGATATCTACTAGTCTCTCACTACTGTGCCCTGGACTTCAGGAAGGGGATAGAAACTTCCCTCCAAGGAACAATGCAGGATATATAGTCATGATGGAAATCATGGCAGACAGAGCCAGCATGCCTGAGCTGCCAGTCTTAGCTTTCTTACTCCCTAGGGATGTGATCAGCCAGCTAGCCACTCTGTGCCCCAGCCTCCCTGTTATTCAAATAGAGATGGAGACAGCGCCTCCACAGGGTTGGCCTGAGAATTGAAGAAGTTAGCATTTGTGAAAGATCTAATGAGGTAATTAGGGTAATTGCCATGACTTCCACTCAGATAGCTTGGGGTGAGATGAGTGGAAAAATCTTGGAAGTGAAAGTGTTCGCTCGAGGAGGGGGTGACATGTGACATGGAGCCTGCAGGTCAGGGAGAGGGGGTCAGAGGTTATTATGATAGGCCACAGGAAGCAAACAGCGCTCTAGCAGAGAAGCAAAGGTATAGGTCTCCCTAAAGACATTGGGGTTGCACAATGAGTGGCAAGGGTGGGTTTGGCCGGGGGGGGGGGGGGGGGGTGGGGGGGGGGGGGGGGGGGGCTGTTTGGGGTGAAGGTAGAGAGACAGATGAGGCCTAAGGATTCAGATTTGGCTGAGCAGTTCGGATTCTCTTCTCCTAGGAATGAATGAGGAAGCCAGGGTCTCTAACCCAGAGGAGGATCATTCAGAATCTTTTCATGAGGAAAAATGCTATCCTGCCATCAGAGGGGGTAAATGGTATGGGCCCAATTTGCCATGCAGCCCACAGTGGGAGGAAAAGGCATTGGGGCTCAGGACACCAACATTGTTGCATTCTGCAGTAAGATCTGCTCCAGCAGGCCTCAGGAGAACACACTGGCTCTGCTATTTCTTAATGTGGTCAGCCATAGAACATGACATGGGGATCATATTGGTGGGTCAGTGAGTCATGTGACTGCCCCACAAAACTATAAAGGCTGTGAGCAGGACAAAGTCAGGAAAATACTCCACTCTCTAACCTCTTGGGTGGAGCCAGGGAATCCACCTTTATTCTTTTTATTCCTTCACTATTGATCATTAGTCAAGTAATAACTCTGTTGGCCAAGTTCACAGTTGGAATAGGAATGGCAGATTTTTCACCCTCTTTCCAATTTCAAGACAGGAGACATTCTATTTATTTTCAAGAAAGGAGAAACATTGGTTTTTGAATGTTTGCCATGTGTCCAGCATTCCTAGAAGTAATAAGGACTTTATCTGATTGCAGTAGTAATAGTAGCCACCACTGTGGTGAGCTCACCATTTCCCATTCTATGCTGAGTTCTATATTTGTTCCCTGTGGTTGGCCTCTGTAACAGGCAGTGAGATTAACCCCTTTTTAGAGTT